TTTTATCAAATATACCTTATACCCGAAAAAGATAATTAAATATATACAATAAATATATATAAATAAGTCCGATCCTCCCCCGTTTCTGTCCGTTCCTGTAAATCGTTGCCCGTTTCTGTCCGTTCCTGTAAATCGTCGCCCGTTTCTGCCCGATCCATATCAATACAATACTCTTAGTCTTTTATCAAATATATCTTATACCCGATAAAAAAAAATATGATACTATAAATGTAGGTATCATAAGTAATATCGTCATAAATGTATATATATAATTTAGTCCGATTCTGCCCCGATCATGTAATTGCAATCCTTTTATCAAATATATCTTATACCCGATAATGATACTCAAATGTATCTAATATATATATTCATTAATGTATATAATAATTAATAGATTGCAGCCTGATTCTGTCCGTTTCTGCCCGTTCCTGCCCATTTCTGCCCGTTCCTGTAAATCGTCTAACCGGTGTATTAGCATGTAAAGTGAAGAAAGCGTCCACAGATAATATCGTTAAAATTACTCGCTAAAGTAAGCGACATCAGAGGATATTTTATTAGTTAGATTTTTATTGATATATATTCCAAATTTCAGCTCGATATTTGAAAACATGATCGAGTTATGATAAATTTATTATTACGATCGGGTAATTGTAACGATTTTATCAACGCTTTCTACACTTTTCAAGCTAATACACACATGTGCCACGCCGCGATCGTAAAAATTCAATTCATCATAACTCGGTCATTTTATCAAATATCAAATTGAAATTTGGTACAGAGGTGTATTGTAGTCATATTATCAACATATCTTCTGATGTCGCTTACTTTATTCAGTATTTTTAGCACACCATCATCTAATGGTGGGCTATTCAAATCACCCTGCGTCCGTCTGTCCGTAAACAATTCTTCTTATCAGTAGTTCTCAAGAAGTGCCAGAGGGATCTTTCTCAAATTTTATATGTAGGTTCCCCTTGGTCCTAGCTGTGCAGGGCAATTTTAGAGACTGATCGGATAAACATCATGGCCGACAGGCAGGCATCTTGGATTTTGATAGTGAAAGCTTGTTATCACTATTTCTCTAGAAGTGCTAGACGGATCTTTCTCAAATTTTATATGTAGGTTCCCCTTGGTCCTAGCTGTGCAGGGCAATTTTAGAGACTGATCGGATAAACATCATGGCCGACAGGCAGGCATCTTGGATTTTGATAGTGAAAGCTTGTTATCACTATTTCTCTAGAAGTGCTAGACGGATCTTTCTCAAATTTTATATGCAGGTTCCCCTTGGTCCTTAGTTGTGCAGGGCAACTTTTGAGACTGATCGGACAAACAACATGGCCGACAGGCAGGCATCTTGGATTTTGATAGTGAAAGCTTGTTATCACTATTTCTCTAGAAGTGCTAGACGGATCTTTCTCAAATTTTATATGCAGGTTCCCCTTGGTCCTTAGCTGTGCAGGGCAACTTTTGAGACTGATCGGATAAACATCATGGCCGACAGGCAGGCATCTTGGATTTTGATAGTGAAAGCTTGTTATCACTATTTCTCTAGAAGTACTAGAGGGATCTTTCTCAAATTTTATATGCAGGTTCCCCTTGGTCCTTAGCTGTGCAGGGCAACTTTTGAGACTGATTGGATAAACAACATGGCCAACAGGCAGCCATCTTGGATTTTGATATTGAAAGTTTGTTACCGCTATTTCTCTGGAAGAACTAGAGGGATCTTTCTTAAATTTTATATGTAGGTTCCCCTTGGTCCTTAGCTGTGCAGGGCAACTTTTGAGACTGATCGGACAAACAACATGGCCGACAGGCAGGCATCTTGGATTTTGATAGTGAAAGCTTGTTATCACTATTTCTCTAGAAGTGCTAGACGGATCTTTCTCAAATTTTATATGCAGGTTCCCCTTGGTCCTTAGCTGTGCAGGGCAACTTTTGATACTGATTGGATAAACAACATGGCCAACAGGCAGCCATCTTGGATTTTGATAGTGAAAGCTTGTTATCACTATTTCTCTAGAAGTGCTAGACGGATCTTTCTCAAATTTTAAAGGTAGGTTCCCCTTGATCCCTCGTTGTGTATGTTATATTTTGAGACTGATCATAAAAACACAATGGATTAAAAGAAGAACTAAACAAATCTTTCTCATATTGCAATGATCGATTCTATTTCTTTCACATGAAGTACTGTACTAGTAAATATGTGAATTGACAAACTCACTTTGAAGGTTGGCTTTCATACACATCAGTATTAAGTTTAGATCAAAAGTAACCTCAAGGTGCATTTACTGTTAACATGACTCGATCAAACAGATTAGAGGAAAGAAGAGAAAAGATGGAACTGACAAAGAACTAATGAAGATGGTTCAAAGGTGGGCGCCAAGATCCCTCTGGGATCTCTTGTTAAAGATTTTGTCCGACGACGCTTGTTGTCAGTTAAAGATGCTTTTAAGTGAAACCGAAAATATGTTTATTATTACTTTGAATGAACCATGGTATGGATGACTTGATCAATGTATCAATATGAACTCATCATTAATAATAAAATCATTGTTATACATTGTAGTTATAGATTGAGTGATCATGAAATATCTCCTCTTTGAAAAATGATTTTGATGGGGCAGTGATAGTCAGAGCACTGATGTTTAATCAATAAATATAACAAATTAAGTGTTTCCCACAAGCCTGATTAGCATGTCGCCGCACCATGCCCTGTCCTCTATATACTCCTTATACCTACCAAGGCAAACACAACACCTAAATAGCAAATAGCTGCTCGACCGATAGCACGGACCGAGTCGGCATTTATTCATAAATATAATATGAATATAATGAATAGTTGAATACACATTAACAAAATAACTACTCTGACTTCATTTACCGTACACACAAACAATCCTCTCACATATACCCTCACATGGTTCATCGCCCTACATCTCCTAACGTGAAACAGGAGGTGTACCAGCCCGACAATGCTTAAGGTTTTTTACAAAATTGATGCTGGGATTTCCTAGATATGACGATGCCCACACATACATCTGTTACATAAACATAAAATTCTGCTATAATTTTATTTCAAGCTGTACTACGCCGTGCGAGGAGCGAAGCTAGAATGAACATACACGTACCCGTAAACTACCCTTAGCATGTGCCTCAATCTGATTTGTCAAAACCTCTGCACGAGACAGGCAACTGCCCTCGTATACTCCGTGTATACAGGACAAATATTTCCCGCTATTCTCGGAAACGCGGGAAAGTAATATTCTCTGGCACCATGCCCATTTTACTTTCTTTTTTCTTTTTTATTGTTTAACGACACCATGGTTGCCTACCCGTTCCCTCCAAACCACTGCCCCGATGAAAGCCTGCAATACACAGCCTCTACATAATGACACCTAATCATTACAGTAGGTCAGTTATCTTGTTCACTGAAGCAGCAAGAAGACCAGGGTCAGGGCCCCAGGGGAAGTTTCAAGTTCAAGTTTTATTCGAACTTTAGGCCATTGGCCCATCAGTATACAATACATATTATACACAAATCATGGACAATGTACAGATAATGAAGACAATCATATTCCATTATAATACCCTTAATTTGTTTGCCTCATAGATGAATTTACCTAGTATACACAATTATTTAATATTATGGACACTCAATAACTGAAAGGCTTTAAACACAGATGTTTTTTTCCAATAATAGCTTTTGATAAAACTTGATCTGAGATTTTGGAATTTAGAACAGACTAATAAAAAATGAAATTCGTCTACTTCAGAGGGGGAGTTATACTGTTCACAATATCTACGTTCTCTAGGTATATTTTTATACCTTCTAACTTCTACGGCCTAAGAATGTGTAGATATACGGATTCGAGTTAAACAAATACAATATTTTATTGGTATATATTTTGTGAGGTAAAATTGTAATGATTCTCCGAAATCAATGATATTTTTATACAATAAACATTTTGGAGAGTTTTCCATTGAAGCCCTAAGGGATTACATGCCTTGATAAAAAATTCTTTGTTTTATCAATGGTAATAACACATTTTGCTGAAAAATACATGGATTTAACCAAACATCACTAAGACCTAGATTATTCAATTCATCTCTTACTGCTTTTGCCCAGTTGAAATTATTTTTACTACAACATTTTAAAAAAAATCTATAGGAAGTGGAAATGATACAATTTTAAGATTTTAAGACCTTAAACCAATATTTTATCCTTCTAATTTTTCTCATACAAACTAGAGGTAACTGTCCCAATTCAAGATATACCATGTTGTTATTGGCCGATTTCTTCACTTTTAGTAATTTCTTACAAAAATGTAAATGTACATGTTCAATCTCTGGAGCTTTGTGCATACACCAAATTTCACTTGCATAAAAAAGGATACTGCTTACATATGTATCGAAAAGGTGTAGCATAGTTTTTACATTTAAGTTTAATGATGAAGACTTTGAAAACAATGCAAACATAGCTTTTCGTCCTTGTTAGAGGCAGTTAAGACTTTCACACCTAACCTAAGGTGGTTATATATACATAATTATAATAAGGAGAAGATATACTATTTGCAGTCACGCAGGGCTGTTAAAATCTATGTTGCGTCTGCTAAATAAGTGGCAGGAATGGAATTAAAATGACTTTTTTGGCCTAATGTGCCCTTTTTGGTCCAATGCACCCTATTGCCTGCCACTTCTCCGTGCCCTTATTTTTCCCTGTGGTTAACACTAACAATATGTATATGAAAATATCCCTTATGCTTCATCTAGAATAATGCATGTTTTCTAGAACAGGGCCATTTTAATAGGGTAATGGAGTTAAATTATAGGTGTATTGACCGACGATCCGAGGTTTGGACGTTACTACCTGTGACGACAGACCAATGTACTAAATCAAGATAGAAAGTTCAGAACTAGTTCAGGAATGAAAATATGGGTTGATGTTATCAATGCACCTTCAAACTATTGTGGAAACAAAAGATAGCTACCTCTTTTAGTCTTTATTTTATTCCTGAATTACAGCTGTGATTAAAGTTACTAAAAGCTTTGTAACGTGACATGATCATATACATAACAAAGCCTGTAGCTATATAGGATTTGTATGATGATGGCAGTGACAGGTTCGGAATGATTATACTGCAGACCAACAGGGTGTGTGAGTCAATTTAGTAATTGGTTTAGTAATAATTATTTCAAAGCTATAGGCATACAGCATGTACACATATGTACTCATGAACGATGAAATAGAATACTGACATCTCCGGGTTGATGATACTGCATTTGTAATACAGTACCGGGCCTTCGTCGGCTTAAATATATATAAATTTCTATTTATTGATTCACTCATGCTTCATTCATTTTAACCATTTTATTCATGAGTACACATGTTGATAGAACTCCTGAACAGTTTACTAACGGAAACATTATATTTTTGACAGTGTTGTGAAATACATGTACCTGATAGTATTACCTAGGGGTCTAGATTTTTGAAGCACTGTTTGTTGATTGTCATTAATGGGACAAGCTAAATTGCTGTTAATTCAAATTTTCAAAATTGCTCAAATTTCTGTGTCATATTCTCATGTTACTGGTCTTCAGGCAATCACACATGCATATTTCATAGCAACTTTCAATAATCCATAAATATTCTTCATTGAAAACTTTGTGTACAAATGAGCAGTAAAGCTAAATACTTTGAACAACTAGCCCCTTTTTAAGGACATGCATGCCAGGTTTTAGTAGTGGAGGAAAGCCAGAGTACCTGGAGAAAAACCACCAACCTGTGGCGTTTACCTAGAGACTACCTCAGCTAACCAGCAATTTACCCTTTCACCCCTATGTAACTTTAGAAGACTATATATATGCATTGATCTGGATGAGTCCATTATGGTCTACAGTGGTGAAAGGGTTAACCCATTGGTGGAGGGCTAATGATCACAGACAGTCCGACACCTTAACCACTGGGCCACGACAGTCCCAATAGCCCCTGAGTAGTATATGAACACGGAAATATATAAATACTGTAATCTTTTGGTTGTATCATCCTCATTTTTTTATATATATTTTTTCAGTTGGGATGAAACACATTTTGGAAAGATGGGAGGCTGGTATATAAAGCGAACATTTTTCTTTGATGTTCACCCACCTCTAGGGAAGGTAAATATTTTTCACAAACTGTCTTGAAAATAGAAATGGTGACACATGGGCTTGATGTGATCAATATTTTACTACAGTGAATGTGAAGTTACATTGTAAAAACATCAAAATGAAATATGTTCCTTTGTGATACAAACAAAAATGTAATCTGTTTTGGTCTTTTGGACTTGTAAAATTTCAAGATGTCATATATTATAGCTCTGAGTTATAAAAAATCAATTGAATGCTGTCGTCTAATCACTGAGAATCAATATTTCGAGATTGTTTTCTTGATTGTGTACAATGTACGTAATTCACACCAAGTGTCAGTCCGGAATTTATTGCATAATAGATATTATAATTGGAGACAAGCTAAGAATTATATATATAGTTATCAGTGCTTTCACAAAAAATAATAATTGGGAGCACAATCACAGAAATAAGTGATCATTATTATTAGCTCACCTGGTCCAAAGGACCAAGGTGAGATTATGCCATACCGTGGCGTCCGTATGTCAACAATTTCTTTAAACGACTTCTACTTCTTAACCACTGATTGGAATTCAACTAAATTTGACTGGAAGCATCCCTAGGTGGGGATTCAAAATTGTACAAAAAGAGGGGCTGACCCCCCAGGGGGCTGAGGGGCGGGGCCAAAAGGGGGTAGAACTATGCCATGGATATCGATCATATTTGGTGGGAAACATTCATGGGAGGCAGGGATTCAAAATTGTACAAATGGTGTGGCTGACCCCCCCCCCAGGGGGCTGAGGGGTGGGCCAAAAAGGGTTATTTGGCTATACTGTTTTAAGTGACTTCTTCTCTGAAACTAAGCGATGGATATCAACCATATTTGATTGGAAGCATCCCTAGGTAGTGGGGATTCAAAATTGGTCAAATGGAGAGGCTAACCCCCCAAGGGGCTGAGGGGTCGGCCAAAAGGGGGCAATTTGGCTATATTGCTACAAACGACTTCTTCTGTAGAACTATGCACTGAATATCAATCATATTTGATCAAAAGCATTCATGGGATGCAGGGATTCAAAATTGTACAAATGGTATTGCTGATCCCTAAGGGGGCTGAGGGGCCGGGGGCCAAAAAGGGTATTTGCATTGGCTATATTGCTTTAAGCGACTTCTTCTCTGGAACTAAGTTATGGATATCAACTATACTTGACTGGAATCATCCCTAAGTGGTAGAGATTCCAAATTGTACAAATGGTGGGGCTGACCCCCCGGGCTAAGGGGTGGGGCCAATAAAAGTTTATTACTGGTTGAGATCCCCACCGTATAACCATATATACAATTGCTGAGTATAAAGAGAAGAATGCACATCTTTTTCCAGGATGGTCCTAGAGTCTGGCCCCACCCTTTGAGACATATAGTCCCACGGCCATAACTTTGAAACGGTTGAGATCCCCACCCCAAAACTATATATACAAATGGTGGGCATAAAGAGACGAATGTAGTCATGATATAAGAATAGACCCTGGGGTCTGACCAAACCCCTAGGGATCTAGTTTCTTAGTCACGGCTTGCAAACAGTTGAGATCCCCACCCTATAACCGTATATACAATTGCTGAGTATACGTATAAAAGAGATGACTGCACATATGCTTCCAGGATGGCCTTGGGGTCTGCCCAATCCTTGGAAACAACCCCTGGGTCAGAACTTTGAAATGGTTAAGGTTCCCACCCCAAAACTATATATACAATTGTTGGGCATAAAGAGACGAATCATGATATTAGAATTGACCCTAGGGTTTGCCCCACCCTTGCAGACTTAACCATTGGGTCATAACTTCGAAACAGTTGAGATCCCCAACCCAAAACTATGAATACAAATGCTGGGCATGAAAAATCTAATACAGATATATGCTACAAGGATTGGCCTTGGGGTCTGGCATATTCCCTTGCCCTTGAATCTCATTTGGAGAATATTTTGCCATGCTTTCTTAGATATGCAGGTGAGCGATACAGACCCTCTGGGCCTCTTGTTAACTGGTTCACAGTAAATGAAATTTAATGAATGTTGACTATTGAACCAATTTTCGTCATTCCTCAGATGCTGATTGGTTTATCTGGCGTCCTTACTGGGTATGATGGGATGTTCCCTTTCGAGAAACCTGGGGATGAGTATGGCGAGGATGTCAACTATGTGGGCATGAGAATCGTAAGTCAAGGGGTCAAACAAGTAGGGGTACATGTGAGAATTTATAAGTGATGAGTGACCGGGGAGACAATCAAGAGATAACATTGTTAATCAGGGGCAGACAATTGGGTTGCGTTTGGTTTGTTATGTGCTTTTCCAGTACACTTCCAGTTCTGTGATGAGTAGTATATATTTTGACGTGTGATTTGACTGTTTCGGTACACTACCAGTTCTGTGATGAGTAGTATATATTGTGAATACTCGTGTGATTTGAATGTTTTGGTACACTTCCAGTTCTGTGACGAGTAGTATATATTTTGACGTGTGAATTGACTGTTTCGGTACACTTCTAGTTCTGTGATGAGTAGTTTATATTTTGACGTATGATTTGACTGTTTTGGTACACTTCTAGTTCTGTGATGAGTAGTATATATTTTGACGTATGATTTGACTGTTTTGGTACACTTCTAGTTCTGTGATGAGTAGTATATATTTTGAATATTCGTGTGATTTGACTGTTTCAGTACACTTCCAGTTCTGTGATGAGTAGTAGATATTTTGAATACTCGTGTGATTTAACTGTTTCGGTACACTACCAGTTCTCTGGTGAGTAGTATATATTGTGAATACTCCTGTGATTTGAATGTTCTGGTACACTTCCAGTTCTGTGATGAGTAGTATATATTTTGAATACTTATGTGATTTGACTGTTTCAGTACACTTCCAGTTCTGTGATGAGTAGTATATATTGTGAATACTCGTGTGATTTGAATGTTTTGGTACACTTCCAGTTCTGTGATGAGTAGTATATATTTTGACGTGTGATTTGACTGTTTCGGTACACTTCCAGTTCTGTGATGAGTAGTATATATGTTGACGTGTGATTTGACTGTTTCGGTACACTACCAGTTCTGTGATGGGTAGTATATATTTTGAGGTGTGATTTGACTGTTTCGGTACACTTCCAGTTCTGTGACGAGTAGTATATATTTTGAATACTCGTGTGATTTGAATGTTTTGGTACACTTCCAGCTCTGTGATGAGTAGTATATATTTTGACGTGTGATTTGACTGTTTCAGTACACTACCAGTTCTGTGATGAGTAGTATATATTTTGAGGTATGATTTGACTGTTTCGGTACACTTCCAGTTCTGTGCCGTGCTGGGAGCTGCCCTAGTACCTCTGTGTTATATGAGTACCTGGCTACTCTGCCAGTCAACCATAGCTGCCTTCTTCAGTGCGTTATTAATTTTACTCGGTAAGTTATCATGATAAATTTTTCAGAATCAATCTGTTTTATTGCTTAATAAATTGGGGAAAAACAACTCTACCAGTTAAAATACATGTAAACTAAGAAATATATACATTTAATTATGAACCTTGAATTTTTGGAACCATTATTTTATAATATAATGGCCATTTATTAATAAGGTTTGAAAACCCTTAAAATTGTATCAATATAATGGCCATTTATTAATCAAGCGTAAAACCCCTTAAAATTGTATCAATATAATGGCCTTTTATAAGTTCAGTTTGAAAACCCTTAAAATAGAATCAATTTTAAGGCCATTTATTTATTAAGTTTAGAAACCCTTAAAATTGTATCAAATTGATCACTATCAATATAATGGCCTTTTAATTATTAATTAAGTTTTAAAACCCTTCAAATTGTATCAATATAATGGCCATTTACTAATTAAGTTTAGAAACCTTCAAATTGTATCAATATAATGGCCATTTATTTATTAAGTTTAAAAACCCTTCAAGTTGTATCAATATAATGGCCTTTTATTAATTAAGTTTAGAAACCCTTCAAATTGTATCAATATAATGGCCATTTATTTATTAAGTTTAGAAACCCTTAAAATTGTATCAATTTGAGTCTTTTAAAGCAATTAGATTTAAAAATTTGATGTATTATGTAAAGACAATATCCTGATATAATTACTAGATTGTGATATTAATCGTATATAAATATGCATGAATTTATCTTTTGCTATCAGTTTCAAAGTAGGAAAAGGGATATTTTCATGTATTTTGTTTGAATATTTATTGATTATTTTGAACATTGTTATTAGAAAATTTCATATTAGTTACATCAGTTAAAATAGTTAAAAAAATATAAAAAAATAAAAGCTTTTTAAAGTTGGTACCTTGTACATCTAAAACTGTTTATCTAACAAACAACTGGAATTTCTTGATATTGGTTTATTTTTACAGTGAAAGAATTGCTAGGTAATGCTTGTATTTTATGGAGTTTTAGCCTACATATTTGCTGCCCAAAAATTATCACACAAATTAACCTCATAGACTTGGTAAGGATATTTTTAAACTTTTAAAGTGTAATGAAGAATATAAAATCCTAAGCTTGTTCCACAAACTTTTGGGTGTTATATGTCGGGGCCAGGTGGTGTACAATTTTATATTTAAAGAACTATAGCCCACTAACAGATCTCGAAAATATACTAGGTTGGCCTATAATTACACATGATTGATTTTATTGCTATACATACAGATCGAAACAGACATTGTTTTCCCAAAAGTACAATTTATTTGCTACAGACACGGGGACGCTATCTTTGTCCCGACACATCTTACTGGATCCAATATTGCTGTTTTTTATCATGATGTCTACGTACTCTGTGCTGAAGTTCTTGTCTTATAAGGAACAGTAAGTATTTTAATAGAAGTTCATGTCTTTAACAAAAATGTCTGAATTTTGAACAACTTTTCATAAAAGAATTCTTTAATCAGTATGAGGCTGATGCCCCAATAAATGTAAGGTCGGGGCTACAAGCTTAAGGGTTTATATAATGAAAAACCTTTAAATCACAAGTTGTGAGCATACTGATAGAATTTTATCAACGTTGTATAAAATTTATCTTTAGATGATATACGGATCACAATTCTCCAGTCAGCATCTCATTTAAAGCTACATTGTATTGGCAAGTTTAGATGTTCGCGAATAGAAAGAATCCTATGATGATGAGAAACAAAATCTATCTTCAAGAAGAGGATGATCCCAGGGGGTATACATTGCAAAACCTTAAAAATAATTGTCTGAAACTTTTTGGTGGTTTTTCACATACATTTCATAAAATGATCCTTAGATAATTAGGATCACAATTTATACTCAAGAAAGTTGAGTGTGGGATGGGGGCTTATAAAGGGTCACTTCATGAAAAACCTTCTGGCAACATCTCTACTGTAAGTAACTGATAGATTAGAAGTTATATTCTTCCTTTACTTTGTCCCCTTTTTGGGGAGGGGGGGGGACATTTGTCCCACTGAGCAGTTATAAATGTTAAGTTAGATTCTACACAACAGTATTTGTATTACATGTATTCATAGTTCAACGTCACTGACTGTTTTAAAGACCTTTGGACCTCTTCTATTTTACGACGTGATTTACTGACTGTCGATCATGATGATGCCTTTGTGTTGCAGCCCGTTCTCAGTTTGCTGGTTCTACTGGCTGTCTATGACTGGTCTGTTCTTGTCTGCTGCTATAGGGTAAGTGTACAGGTGGTGTTTGGGGAGGCACTTACAGTTGGTATTATACCTTATCATTATTACAGTATAGCTGATTGAACTAAATTCATCACATGACAACTGGGAAATGAAATATTGCTTTTCCCTTGCTCGCTCATGTTCCCTAAATAGGTATAAAGCAAGAGGCATCACACCAGTCCAGTAGATGACAACAGCGGGGCTTAAACCTCATCATCATTCATAATGTTGTAGTGTTGTTTATCTGTTTTGGTATGATATAATATTTATTGACTTTTTTAAAGAGAAATATGATTCTTTGTTAAATTTTAACCAAGTTTTAATCAGGTTTCACTTGGGTTTTCCTTTCTGAGACATGCTTCATTCATCACAATGAATCAGAGAACCACGCTTCCCTACAACAGGGCCAACAGCTGTATGACGTATTTATATAATATACACAAGATATGTCGTGTCTTGAAGCTTAAATTACCTCGGCTAATTGTGATATACATTGTTCTGTAACTTATAACGATTATTATTATGTAAGATTTAGTTTTAGTTTGTTAAGTCTTGTACCTTGATCGATGACAGACTGTTGTTAAGATCAATGTGTGGTTATATGGATCCGTGACCAAGACAAAGTCGAGATCAGTATCATTTTTCAAGTCAATATAGTCGCTGAAATAAAAGTCAGTACTGTACCTGTCACATTAGATGTGAAGTAATGCTGTACACTCAGTTCTCCCGTGTATGAAATCTCATTTAAGAACAATAAGTTACAGACGTGTGGTTCTGACAATCTGTTCTCGGTTACGTAGGATTTCACTCTCCATACATAATTTTAAACATGTCTTTGCCAAATTTGTTTAAAACTACACAGACCTGGTATGAAAAATATACAGCCCTATAAAATATGTAGTATTTATAACTGAAGGTTTAACATCCAGATCTTTTTGTTTTGTTTTGTAATGTTTTATTTTTCAAGTCTTTTTCCACAATTACAAAACATTTAACATGACATACACATATACACACACACACACACACACACACAACTAGAAACTACTCATGGTTCAGCATAACACTCACTTCACTCAACATCATCAGCTTATTTATCATCATCATCATCATCATCATCATCATCATCATCATCATCATCATCATCATCAGATCTTGGTATTAATCTGTGTACTGTACGATTAAGAAGCTGACTGCTGGACATCAAAGTAAAATTATTTTAAATATATGGTGATCAGATGTTGAAGGCTGTTATAAGTTGTCTAATTCAGATTCTTTTGCTTCGTCTGTTACAGTGTGAAGTTTGTCGGTTTATTTGTGGTATTACTTGTTGGGTTTACCACCATAATGGACCTGTGGAGGTTGCTTGGAATCAAAAATAATACCCTGGTAAGTTGCCAGGCAGTTGATTCAACAGCACAGTGTTAATTGATATTGCATGGGAAGTGCATGGGTTTTAAAATGATTGTTGATTGTATAACGAACCTCAGGAAATATCAATTATAAGTGGTGGAGGTCACAAAAACAACCCCCTACCGGATACATTTACCCAATATGTATATTTTTTTCTCTCAAAAAAATAATGCTTTGATTGGAAATAAAATCCTTCATAATTTGTATATACATTTAGCTTGAAGATTTCTTGTTTGATAATTACTTTGCTGGAAACACTCTGATATTTGGTTTTGGTTACAATGCAAGATTGATAGGTTCACAATTTATTAATTCTATTCAGGTGGATCTCACCAAACATTTTGTGGCTAGAGCGGCGTGCCTTATAGCTTTACCAGTGATCATGTATATGGTTTACTTTGCCATCCATTTTATTGTGCTGAACGAGAGGCAAGTACAGTTTAATTTCTCACCGGACACATATTGGTTCAATATACTGAAATACATTATGAATGTAGATTTCATATCAAATAGGTTGAAATATATGTTTTTTCATAACTTGATTTTTTACTGGGAGTAAATCACATAACTTATCAGATAGGTTAGGATAAGATATGATTTTAGCTAAAGAATTGTCAAAATTCTAAAATGTAGCAATACATGTCAGATAAATCACAGAAAATAGTGTGTACAACTGTTGATATTCATGTGCTCGACTTTGTCTGTTGTAGTGGTAATGGGGACGGATTCTACAGTTCTGCCTTCCAGTCTCAGCTCAAGGGCAACAGGCTGTACAACGTCAGCATGCCAGAACGTAAGTCTGACCGTACTGACCACTTTGTTCATCTATTCACCTTTCCGACATATCCCAAAAACACTTAGCTTTGTAACAGTTTACTGCTGACCCCACCCCCCTCTCCTCCAACCCCAACCCCTTTATCCCCCATCCCAACCCCTCCAAACAAATGGGACTCATTTAGCAGTCATTTTGTTTGTGCGCTTGTCTGTCTGTTCGGCAGTGTCCATCAAGCTATATCTATTAAAAGGTTGAACCTTTCCCTTGGAAACTTCACAGATATGTTTTAACCAGATGATGTGTTGTTAAGCCTTCTCAGGTCTGTACCCTAAAACTCAAAGTCAAGGCTAGTTAGGGGTCAGCGATTAAATCATTGTAGTGCTCGACTAGACCATGATGGTAGAACCTTTACTTAGGAAACCAAACATAAACCCGAACAAAGGGAGAAAGGATTTCTTACTTTTTATTTCAAAAATAGATGTGCCTTCTATAACTTTGTCATCATGTTGACTTGTGTTAAGGGGAGATAACTAGTATGTTCACATTCGGTAAAAAATATCAAATTAATGTAACACTGATCATGAGGTTGCATGTCTTTAAAAAATATTTGTTTGTTCTTTGTAAACAGCATTATTTGTTTTTAATATATATCTATTTACTTTCAATAATTTGTAAAAAAAAATCTATATATTTATGGACATGTTTTGTGTGAAGATTCATGCCAGTTCACAAACTGAAAGTTACAATAATGTGGGTACATTGCTATTTAGTATTCAATTGAAATATTTTTAACTGAAGAAATTTCATTGTTTCTGTTGTTGAGATATTAAAGTGAGGTTGACACCTTCTAATGATTTCACAGATATAGCGTATGGGAGTGTGGTGACACTGAAACAGAGGCGGACTGGAGGGGCCTATCTTCACTCCCACTGGCACCTCTACCCAGAGGAGCACCCACCACGACAACAACAGGTATGAAATATACAGACTGGACAGTACAGAGTGGACAGTAAAGACTGGACAGTACAGAGTGGACAGTACAGACTTGACAGTTCAGAGTGGACAGTACAGAATGGACAGAACAGACTGGACATACAGCTAGAGTGGCCAGTACAGACTGGACTGTACAGAGTGGACAGTACATAGTGGACAGTACAGACTTGCCAGTTCAGAGTGGACAGTACAGACTTGACAGTTCAGAGTGGACAGTACATACTTGACAGTTCAGAGTGGACAGTACATACTTGACAGTACAGAGTGGACAGTTCAGACTGGACTGTACAGACTGGACAGTACAGAGTGGACAGTACAGATTGGACAGTACAGACTTGACAGTACAGATTTGACAGTACAAACTGGACAGTTAAGAGTGGACAGTACAGACTTGACAGTTCAGAGTGGACAGTACACACTTGACAGTACAAACTGGATAGTTCAGACTGTACTGTACAGACTTGACAGTTCAGAGAGGACAGTACAGACTTGACAGTACAGATTTGACAGTACAAACTGGACAGTTCAGAGTGGACAGTACAGAGTGGAAAGTACGGAGTGGACAGTACAGACTTGACAGTCCAGATTGGACAGTACAGACTTGTCAGTTCAGAGTGGACAGTACATACTTGAAAGTTCAGAGTGGACAATACAGACTTGACAGTACAGAGTGGACAGTACATATTTGACAGTTCAGAGTGGACAGTACATACTTGAAAGTTCAGAGTGGACAATACAGACTTGACAGTACAGAGTGGACAGTACATATTTGACAGTTCAGAGTGGACAGTACATACTTGAAAGTTCAGAGTGGACAATACAGACTTGACAGTACAGAGTGGACAGTACATATTTGACAGTTCAGAGTGGACAGTACATACTTGACAGTTCAGAGTAGACAGTACAGAGTGGACAGTACAGACTGGACAGTAAAGACTTGACAGTACAAACTGGACAGTACAAACTGGACTGTACAGACTTGACAGTTCAGACTGGATTGTACAGACTTGACAGTTCAGAGTGGACTGTACAGACTTGACAGTTCAGAGTGGACTGTACAGACTTGACAGTTCAGACTGGAATGTACAGACTTGACAGTTCAGAGTGGACAGTACACACTTGACAGTACAAACTGGATAGTTCAGACTGGACAGTACAGACTTGACAGTACAGATTTGACAGTACAAACTGGACAGTTCAGAGTGGACAGTACAGAGTGGAAAGTACGGAGTGGACAGTACAGACTTGACGGTACAGAGTAGACAGTACAGACTTGACAGTTCAGAGTGGACAGGACAGACTTGACAGTACAAACTGGATAGTTCAGACTGTACTGTACAGACTTGACAGTTCAGAGTGTACAGTACAGACTTGACAGTACAGACTTGACAGTTCAAAGTGGACTGTACAGACTTGACAGTTCAGAGAGGACAGTACAGACTTGACAGTACAGATTTGACAGTACAAGCTGGACAGTTCAGAGTGGACAGTACAGAGTGGACAGTACAGACTGGACAGTACAGACCATACTTGACAGTACAGAGTGGACAGTTCAGACTTGACAGTACAGACTGGACAGTACAGACCATACTTGACAGTACAGAGTGGACAGTTCAGACTTGACAGTACAGACTGGACAGTACAGACTTGACAGTACAGATTTGACAGTACAAACTGGACAGTTCAGACTGAACTGTACAGACTTGACAGTTCAGAGAGGACAGTACAGACTTGACAGTACAGAGTGGACAGTACATATTTGACAGTTCAGAGTGGACAGTACACACTTGACAGTACAAACTGGATAGTTCAGACTGGACTGTACAGACTTGACAATTCAGAGTGGACAGTACAGACTTGACAGTTCATAGTGGACAGTACAGACTTGACAGTACATAGTGGACAATACAGACTTGACAGTACAGAGTGGACAGTAAAGACTGGACAGTACAGAGTGGATAGTCCAGACTTGACAGTTCAGAGTGGACAGTACAGAGTGGAAAGTACAGAGTGGACAGTAAAGACTTGACAGTACAGACTTGACAGTTCAAAGTGGACTGTACAGACTTGACAGTTCAGAGTGGACAGTACAGACTGGACAGTACAGACTTGACAGTACAAACTGGACAGTTCAGACTGAACTGTACAGACTTGACAGTTCAGAGTGGACAGTACAGTCTTGACAGCACAGACTTGACAGTACAAACTGGACAGTTCAGACTGGACTGTGAAGACTTGACAGTTCAGACTGGACTGTACAGACTTGACAGTTCAGAATGGACAGTACAGACTTGACAGTACAGACTTGACAGTACAAACTGGACAGTACAAACTGGACTGTACAGACTTGACAGTTCAGAGTGCACAGTACATACTTGACAGTTCAGAGTGGACAGTACAGACTTGACAGTACAGACTGGAAAGTACAGACTAGACAGTACAGACCGGACAGTACAGACTGGACAGTACAGAGTGGACGGTACAGACTGGACAGTAAAGAGGAGCACCCACCACGACAACAACAGGTATAAAATATACAGAATGGACAGTTCAGAATGGACAGTTCAGAGTAGACAGTACAGAATGGACAGTTCAGAGTAGACAGTACAGAGTGAACAGTACAGAATGGACAGTTCAGAGTAGACAGTACAGAGTGGACTGTACAGAGTGGACTGTACAGAGTGGACAGTACAGAGTGGAC